AATTCGTGAATGCTGTCAAGACTTTGCATATTCCGAGTTCGGACATGTTCGCCATTATCATGGTTCGAACTCAGTGTGGATCGTTGATGGTGCTTCCATAAACAGACATCCAGAGATTATCCACTTTTTGAGAGGTGTTGGTATTGTGCCAATATTCCTACCAGCATACTGCCCATTTTTCAACCCAATCGAATACATGTTCGGGTACGTGAAGAAGTCCTTCCAGCGTCACTACAACGAGTCGAGTGGGCGAGACCTACTACCATTTACAGTCCAGACGTTTCGCCGCTTCGAGGACGTATGAGTATATTACCGGCTTTCACGTTCTAAGTAAAATTAGCATTCCTCCGAAATCTGCTTTCGATAGTCAGCTCCGAGGTACGAGGATCAGCGATGACGACTACAAGCGGGTACAGTTTGTCTGAGAGCACTTTGAAATGAAGTCGATCAAGGACCTACTCGTCTGGTAAAACAATCTCGATATTCTTCATCGAGGCTATCCAGGCTCAGCGTAAATTATTCAAACGGCTCGATCTAGATATGTTTACAGATGATGTATCGCTACCTGGTCTATCGGAGAAGGTCATGTATCAGACTTGCTATAGCAGCCTTCATTATCCAAGCAAGAATCCGGCTAAGGCCTTTAGCTTTCCAGCTAAGCGCATGAGCGGCTACAAAGCTCAAGATGCTGAGGCCAATCGAGAGTTCGACATGCGTCTTAAGTACTTGAATGAATCGGCTAGGAAACAGAAGTATCTATGCGGGATTTGCTATTGCCAGCTGACCGAAGAGACAGCTTCTGCTGATAGGGTTAATAACAAGCTTTTTCATATTGATGGCAAAATATCGATTAGCTGCATCAAATGAAATACTGCCTGCAAGGACATGTCACGCAGAGGTTTTCGATTTAGCAAACAGCTCGAATTTAACTCAAATAGACTCGTCTACTCGATTGATAAAGGCGCTAGTGTTCATACAATAATTGTTGCTACTACAGGCGCTAGTGTTCATACAATAATTGTTGCTACTACATGTACATGTATACTGTAACCTGGAAATATTTCATCAAAAGCTTCCCACAAAAATAGACTTTATTTTCTGAACCTCTAGAGGCCTTGATTTCCAAATATTTGATTCAGTGCAAAAAGTCTTAGCCAAAAAAGTGAGACAGAAGGAATCCATGCTTCAACAGCTCAGAGACGAGCCTAAAATGTCGCTTGGCAACCAGCAGCAGGCATCTCATTTCACTTTTGGAAGCGACTCGCTCTAACGCCCCCTGATCTCTCAAAATGACGGCGCTACTTGTAAAAAGCTCGTGGAAACAGCACGAGCCTGCCCTACCCGTCGATGACATCCTGCCCGACAACCAGCTACAGGAGGCGCGCGCCTGGACCCACAAGCTTCGCCACGGCGAGAGCACCAGCAAGAGTCCCAAGCCCACTGACGCCGTCCTCTCGCCCACGCAGACAAACAAACCCATAGTGGTCGAGACCAGCAGCAAAAAGCACCGATTCTCGCTGCGACGCCTCTTCAAGCACGAATACCTTCATGGACAGGGAAGAAATCCTGCCTTCGTGCCGCCTGTGCCCAATCCTACGGACTTCCTTACTCGCGAGCGCCACGGCGGCGTAACAGTCAGCGGCAAACGCGTGCCCTTCACACGTGACGCTCACAAGCGCAGGAAAAAGACATCGAAGCCCCTTCCACGCATCAATGAGGACCGCGCGCTCGTGCCGGTGAGCTCATCTGTGGAGGCCTACCGTCGCCGGGCCTACTACCCGGCCAAGAACGAAAAATTCAAGAAATGAGGGCTGCGCCGCCCCATCGTCATAGCGGCGTGTCGCTCATCATGTTTCTGCCAGCTCAATAAGTGTTGTTTGCAGCTAAGCAGCAGCCGAGCCGCCCTGAGACACAACACGATGCCTCGCGCGAGCGGAGCGACAACCTGACCGCGTTTCATCGTAGCCCGTCATTTTTGCCCATGAATTAGAATTGCGCTATTTATTGGTGTGGAATTACCAAAACTTAAATAAAAAACATCACATTATCCTTCTCCACGGCTTTCAAGAATACAGTACACGGCGTCTGCCCACGTGGAAACGCAGGATTGCGCGAGTAAATCACCACTGAATCGAAGTGCCAGGGGTTAATGGTAACTCCAAAATGGTGAAGTTTATACTACGTAGTATAGTGGTACTATAGTATCACCTGTAGACCAGCTAATATAAAAATATTACCTAAAACAAATTTCTGAGACAAAATTATATTATTAAATATTAACTAAATATTCGATATTTATTTTTTCAAAGACTGCATAATCGGTTCTAATCCACCAATCATATGTCGTAAAAGTTCTACTATTGATAACTGAAGTATTACTAATCAACATGATGGAAATGACAATTGTGAGAGTAACGGCACGGTTGGTGTGGTATACTGAACGCACTATCTAGCATCTCAGGCTGCAGATGTATGAGACGCACGATCTGGACGAGGCTATTGGCAGAGAACAAGAACAAATACCTTGATTTCGCTCTATCGACATTAAACAACTGCAACCGCTTACAGTGTTCCATCTCGATCGCCTTTGTCGGTGTCACAGACTACCTGGTCCGAAATGATGGATAGTTTTATTTAAATGTAATTTAAAAACAAGTTCAGCAATTCTTATCAAAATCTAATTGGTCCAACAGGAGCGCGTATTTGCCAGCTATTGGCTGGTGGTTTAATTGGCGCTGAAAGCGTACTGGGGGCCGAGCTACCTCTATTTGAATAGCCGGTCACCCTCTTCCTCATTTTTCTAGTACCAGCTCAGCTAGCACAACGCGCTATCCGTGCTCCCCGACTTCTCTTTGGCCAACCTGACCGATTGTTATCGCCGTTGCATCATCGACGAGCTTCCAAGACCTCATAATTGACGGGAGAATTGCCCCCATGGAGCAAAAGCCGAGACTGTCCACAGAAGAGATTTAAAGCGCAGCCCGGCCCACGATTGGGCAAATGCCCGACGCGCTAATGGAT